AGATTACGATTTCAGGGAGAGACTAGTATTGGGGTGACCCTACTCTTGATAAAGTTTAAGCTGGTCAGATAAGTACTACTTTTATCTGTTGTAGATGTCAAGTTTCTTCGATGTTATCTTAGCCTATCCCTTGTAATGTAAGCCGAACAGAACTTATTATAGCTTTCGTCTACTTTGATTTTTTTTCTGCATTAATCTCTGTAATTACTTAAGAGACTAGGTTGAATTTTAAAGTAGTAACTATTGAAATCTTAGGATAGTTTGAACATGCAATTCTGGTTTAATTTTATTTTCGAAGGAAAACTTTATTTAGTTTATTTTATTTTCCGGTGTTCAGGATAATAAAAATGGAAAATGATTATAATTCATATTAAAACATTAAGTGTTTCCATAATAAATGAGTCCGTAGATTTCTATGTATTGTTATTGAATAGTAGTTGATGATCCATATCATAGATAGAATGTAGGTGACCCAGAATTTGTCAAATATTTGGAGTGTTCCCAACATCAATCATATTTATGTATATGATTATTATATGTTGACTTGAAGTCAATAATTCAGTATTACTGAATCTACTCATTATAAAGATAAGTTTACTAAAACTTTATTAAATTAAAGAGCAAATCATTTACGTATGTATATTTGGTATTGTTATAATGTGTTTACCGTACGCAATATTTTTTTGATTCTATTTTTATACTACATAGTAAAGTGCAAAAATTCGTTGAATTAAAGGTTTAATAAAGATTTCCCTGTATTTCACAACGCACTTTAAGAACTACCTTATGACTTTTTAGGATATTTTTTTTAATTTTGCTTAAATATTTTTTTATATTAACAGTAAAGTAAAATGTAGGTTAGGAATACTTATATCAATAACGATTTTTTTCTAAATCCCACAAAAATTGTCGTCTTTATTTCAATTCTCAACTCTTTGATTAAATAAGAACTTAAAATACTCGTTAACCTTTTTTACTTTGTTATTCGGTTTTTACTTGTTTTACCCGTTGATTTATTTATATAATATATTTAAATATTTTTATACAACAACAAAATATTATCTAGTAGAAGGAAATACGATTTCAACATGTGAATATTTCCTATGTTGAATCAATATTTATTGCCCTATTTGTTGTTTTGGAATAACGCATACCTATATATATTTCATATTTCCAACGTTCAGTAGTACGTATATTGTCTACGGTATATGGTAGGAAATATAAAAAGCAATTCATTTGTTGGTAAGTAGTAACAATAAATTGTAAAAGTTGGATTAGAAATATAATAATTGTTAAATGTATTTTTTATTATTGGGCCCTGCGATACATATAGTTTCATGTTCAGGATCTACCTATTACAACATCGTTTACTACAGATTAAGTACTACTGCTCGGTTACGCTTAATAAAGTTTCCAACGAATGCCGCGTATGCCTGCATAATCCAATTTACAAAGTAATATAGCAATCTGATCAGTGTTGAAAGCTTTAGCAAGGGCTAAGTAGAAACCAAAAAAAAAATTCATTTATCAAATTTTGTGTCTTCTATGGGGACATTGATAACTACATTAAAAGTTGACAGCTTATTTTTAAAAGTCTAAGAACTATCCGATCCGATTGTGCTTTCCCATTTTCACTCTTTCTTGCCCAGTACTTTTTCCTTCACTTTTCTCCCCCTCTCTAAAAACCTAGATTGTGAACGCATCTGTAATATGCCTTATGTTGCAGATGTCCATGGGTGATAGCGGCTACCTTCCGTTACATAGGCCGTCTGCTCGTTTACCGCTTTTGATATACAAAAGTGGAGTTTTTTTTCCAGGAATTGCTTGCAAGAGACAAATATAAGTATTTCAAATAAATGAAACTAATATTTTCGGATCTTACTTCGCATTTTTTATTTTTGATTACGAACTACATACTCCCGACGTTTCAGTGAGACACTCACATCTCGTCTGCCCGTGATCACGGTAGTTCGTAATCAAAAATAAAAAACGCGAAGTAAAATCCGAAAATATTAGTTTCATTTAAATGAGTACTCGCGAAAATCTTAGATCTCATTATATAAGTATTTCAGTTCTAGGAGTTACCTTGTGAGAGATATAAGTATATAAAAGAGGTTTCGAAGCTTAAATTTATACCTTTATTGATTTTTACACGATGACACCAATTTTTAAAAGAATATTTAAGGTAATCTTTTAAAATGATTTTACTATCTGAAGTGAATCATATTTTACAAAGTCCACAGCTCTAATTATTATTTTAAGAAATTAAAATTTAACAGTACTTCTAAGATTAATATTTTAAATATTTATATAAATTAATATAAAATATTGCCAAATCAATAATATATATCTCTATGTATTCTATTTTTTATCAATTCAATTATTTTCAAAACTCTTGTGTGGAAACGATTTGTCGTGATATGAAAATTTACATTCAGACCTAGCTATCCATTGCGTGGAGCGAGAATCTGGCACAATAGGTCCTATTGCTTCAACCAATGTTCAGACGTAGCCAAACAATTAAAATTTCAATAAATAAAGCAATAGTAGGAATTTCATATTTTATATGAGAGAGCAATTTCATCAATACGATGAAATTGAATACAATATGTTATAAATTATAATTTGTTGCCAAATTGTTTCCTATATGAAGCAAAAATAACAAATTATTTATTATCGTGTAGTTATTATATTTATCGTGTGATTAAATACTGTTATAAAATTTATTATATATTAAATTAGTCTGGATTGAATATTATAGGACCAAATATTTTTAGTCAAAGGTATTGATTTAAAACAAAGATTTGTAAACGTCCATTAAACTAGTAAAATGCACGTTATCACATACATTCAATGCCAAAACCTTTATTAATATTATAAAGCTAAACTTTATTCGGAGAATTCTTTTTGTTACCGCTAAAAATAAGGATATTAGCTAAGAATAATTCAAAAACTAAAAACCTTACAATAGAAGCAAAGAAAGTAATACAAGTAATTAATTTCAAGTAAGCTTAAATATAAAAACTTAAGTTATTTTTATCAAAGCTAAAATATAGAATATGGTACATGATTTTGCAGTTAAAATACTGTAATTGAATATAGGAGTATTATTACTTGCAATAGCTTTCGTACATAATGATGTTCCCCGTTTAAACAAATAACGCAATGAGATACATAGGTTTGAGTCACTACTCTTTAAGTGAAATATTTCAATCTGATGAATCAACTGTTTTTCACTTAATGAGAACAAGAACTTGATTAATGTAAGAAATTTCTAATTTTACTCAACTTGCGCCTTAAATATCCACTAAATGATATTTGTTAATTAAATTTTCAAGTGATGAATTTATCAAAGGGATATTTTAAAACGGCATTCTAAATTTAAATGAATAAATTAATTTTTACTTCAATGAACACAAATTCGTTCTACAATAGTAACGACTCATATAACAATACATAATAGAAATTTAATACAGGATTTTATAAAAATTGTTTTGGAACTTTATTACAATCCACAATTTTCTTTGAATTTGTATACTTTATTTTATTTTATTAAATGCGATCCTACATTGATTTAAAAAAACTCATATTTTGATGACAACAAATATTTAAAAACAGTTAATCCATTAATTAGAAAGGAAAATGCCCTTAGGAAATTTTTATTAAGTAATACATTTTATTAGAGATTATAAGGTAATATTCCTAGGTGGCGTATTTAAAATAACGGACTACAGAACACCGTTTTACTGTATTTGAAGACTTCACTTTAATTATATATGAGTATAATCTTTGAAATATAATTTGAAGGAAATGTTGCAAAAATTTCCAACAAAACGTCTTTTATTTATTCGAAGACCTACGAACTAAAAATTAGGTCGCTGTTTTATTTTTACACTCTTTAACGTGTTGGAAACATAAAAAGCAGAGTTGAAGACTTCACTTTAATTATATATGAGTATAATCTTTGAAATATAATTTGAAGGAAATGTTGCAAAAATTTCCAACAAAACGTCTTTTATTTATTCGAAGACCTACGAACTAAAAATTAGGTCGCTGTTTTATTTTTACACTCTTTAACGTGTTGGAAACATAAAAAGCGGGACACAGCCGAAAAGACAAACACTTTAAATAATCTTATTCATTTCAAATGTAAAAGCTTTGAGATAATGAGTTAAAAGCCTACAGTTTGAAAATCAACTCTTCCTGATCTCACTATTATTTTAAAGTTAATTTTTCACTTCAAAAACTCTATATTTTAATTTTTTTTGTTATTTTATAGTTAAATATATTTGAAAATTTGCCGTTATTATTATTGATGTTTTATTTGGAAACGTCATAAATAAGAAAAACAGTCTAAATATTGAAATGAATATGAATAATAACAAAGTATATAAATTGTTTCATATAAAATATTATAAAAACGTGGTACTATTGTGAAAAAATTGAATATTGAAGAATCGTAAATAATTTGTGTAGCTGCTTTCTCTGCGATTTTAATTGGACAAAATTTCATTAAACTAAGACCATTGGCTTCATTTTGATTAAAACAGTATAGAGATTGAAAATATTTACAATACAATACCCTTTACTGCTTCTTTTGTTTTATAATTTAAACAATTTTTATTTCCCATATGACCACATAAACATTATAATGCCCACAAAAGGTGTATTTACAAGAATATTTTAAGTTGATGCTATAGGTATTTATATGTATATATATAAATATACATATATATGTATATATATAGGGGGAAGTCCCCTAGTGGCGGACACTTAAGGTTATTTATAAATAAAACAAAAAATATTTTAAGAAATGTTTATTAAATTATGACTTATATTAGATAACAAAGTTAGAAATCAAATTAAATTAACAAAAATGCAACCTCTGCTTAAAAATAATTAATACTATCAATCAAACTTTGTTAACAAAAAATATAATTTTAGAAAGTGGCACCTAGTACCGGACGAATACTTGTGCCATACCCCTAGCACCGGACATTTCAAAATAACCTGCATCGATCACATATATAGTCATCTCCACACTCTGGAATGTCTGCACATGCTTCATGTATCCATCCACGACAGGATGAGCACTGGATCCAGTCTTCGTCAGTGTCTTCTAAGCAAACTACGCAAATTGTTATGTTTGTGTTAGATGTTTCAGTTAATGGTTCTACTTCACTTCCTTTCTTTCCTTTAGGTTTCACGTTTGTCGCTTCTTTTCCCTTGTCTACGCTCTTTCCTTTGGTTTTAATTCCTTTGGTTTGCTTTCCTTTACCTCTCATTGCTACTTCAAACTTAGATTTTATTTCCTTCTTTTTATCTTTCATGTTCTTTTCATTTTCTTTTTCTTCTACCACTTTTTTGTATGGCGATGAAGTTAAAATTTCACTTCGTTCACTCTTTCTTTTTCGAGCTGCTGTTCGTTTTTTTGCTGCGTCAGGCAACGGTGATAAGTTATGGATTATCTGAACAAGATCGGGAGCAGAACTTGTCGACGGTTTGGGACTTGTGGTTATAGGCTCACTAATAGATTGTTCGGATTCTTTTATTTGCTCTTCTATGATTGAGTTTGATATCACGACAGCTTGTTCGTTGTTTAGTGGGTTCGATGAAGTTTCTGTTTGTTCTAGTGGTATATTGGTCATATCTGCAGCCAAATAATCTAGGTCAGAAAATAAATGTCTGTCAAGTGGATGGATTCCAGTGCATTTGAATCCAGATACTGCAATATCCAATCGAGCTACTTTTATAAATGCTTCTTTGACCAAACCAGCAATGTCGTAATCCGTTATCCGACATCCAGCATTTGTTCTCATCCACAAGTCGCATCGTTGGCTGTATGCATCTTTAAATGGCTTCATAAATGTCCTGTCCAGAGGCTGGAGCTTGTGCGTAGTGTGTGGTGGTGAACTCATCAAGTGAATATGATTTTCTCTGCAAAAACTGATTACCGCCAATGTCTTGTGGCTGCAATGGCCATCTAGTAGAAGCAGCACAGGGTTCTCTTTGGTTGGTTGCGTGTGTTTTTGACAAATATTCTTAGATATTGCAAAAAAAAGTCACTATTCATCCACCCTTTTGGCTGGGCCACACCGATGCTCTCAGCTGGAGCATTCATCATAAGCCTTTCATTCATTCTTTGTCTAGGAAATACGAAAAATGGGGGTATGTAGTGACCGTTAGCACTCATACAGAACAAAACTGTGATGTTTTTGCCTCTCTCAGCAGAAGTGAGCTTACCTACTTGACGGATGGCTTTCGGAGCGAGAACTTTTTGATGTTTGTGCACGCAACTGACACCAGTTTCATCACAGTTATAAATTCTTGAGGGTGTGAATTTGTACTGTTTCATCAGCTTTTCAAGGTTGTCGTAGAATAGATCCACTTGTGGTTTGTTAAATCCTACGGCGCGCATCATGCTTGTCGATTCCGGTGCTCTCAACGAAATGTCAGAATGCCTTTTCATGAAGTCGTAGTAAAAATGTTTACCAGCACTGCCTTTTTCTTTATTAAATCGATGAGGAATCTTCATGACTTCAGCTAAGTCGTATGCTAATTTTAGAAACTCCTTTTTCATGAGCGGCATGCATCTATTCGATAAATCTTTTATGTGGTCCACCAAGACTTGTTCATACTCTGCTGAGAAGGTGCTAGTGAACTTACCTAACTTTGGTTTCATTGTTACTTCTTCTCCTCGATTTAGAGCCTTTATTTTATCATGAATAGTGCTTTTAGGAATATTGTATTGCATTGCAGCTTGTCTTACACTCAGTTCTTTTGACATAACCTTATCAATAGCAGTTCGTAAGCTCTGTGGCTCCCAGGATCCTTTCTTTTTCTTCTCTTCCATTTTAATTATCTTCTTTCTTCTATAATCTAAAACAAAATTAAATAATTAGAATAAATGACGTAAATTCTTACAAGAAATATCAATATGTTTACTGTCCGGCGCTAAGGGACGACTTAGTGTCCGGTGCTAAGGGACAGACATTTTCGTTCATTAGGTGGTACCTACTAAAATTGTTTAAAAGATCTAATAATATTCTACCATTTTACGGATAACAATCAAGTACTACTTTTATCTTTGAATACCACTCAAATATAAATGCATAAATATACTAGAATTACTTACATTGATATTTAGGTGACGCCGTGATTTCGCGCCTAAAACAGCTGACGGTTGCTCCCGCCGTGGCCGTGTGCGTCATTGGCGAGGCGCGGCGCGTGATCCTGTACCTGTGTGCCCCCCGCGCCCCTTTCACTTGTATTTTGAATCGAACAGATTTATACTCGCTTAAATAGTACGAGTGTCCGGCGCTAGGTGCCGTCCGGCGTTACGGGACTTCCCCCTATGTGTATGAATATTATGAAGTGTTAATTTATATAAGTTAGGGTAGTTAACTTTTAGAATAAAAGAAAAAAGTTAAAATAAAATAAAATATACCCTGAATACTTTTTTCTTGACCTGATTCGTAAAATGAGGTTATTGTAGTTCAATGTAAATTTACAAATTATTTAGGACTTTGTGTGACACATTTATGTACTTTGTTATGTTTAGATGACAAGAGTGCATGGAAGTCAAATAGTTATAAAATGTAATTTAATGAAGTGTTACTAAAGCAGATTAAAATTTTATATTTTTTTCTCAATTAAATACCTTATGAACATTTGTAACTTTTTGGGTGAGCAGTTTATCCAAAATTTTCATTTTTTTGTCACTCTTAAAAAGTTTTCGTACAGATATTCATAAAAAAATCCTTTTTTAATTACCTAATAACAATTTACCTAATAATGGACAACACCTAAATTTTATAAATTGAACTTTATTTGCAAAAATGTTTATGATCTATTTTGTCATAAAAAAGGATTTAATAAAAAAATATATGAATTTAAACGTATTTTTTCACACTCTAAAAACAACATCGAATGATCAACTCAAAATCCTTTCAAACTTTCTGATCCTGCTAAATTTACATTTTGATTTAAAATAAAACGATCGTTTTACTGAAGAATCTTGTTCTTTTGTGTAAGGTGTAGATGGAAGCTAAGATATTTAAAATGGTTGAAATAGAATTGACATTATGAAAACGATCTGCTCAGAGATCGACTTTTAGCATATATTAGTCCAATAAGAGAATATATAGGTCGTCTTTATGAACATTTGTATAGTTTTGAAAATACATTGTAGGATGCAATGGGAGTGCTTTAATACACAATTTCAGTTTACAACTATATAAATGATGTTTACTACTCATTATAAGTTATAAGTAAGTGGAAGACTGTAATCAAACTTGGTTAGAATTAAACAACATTAATCACGTCTATTCTAAGCTATTTCGACGTCTGTACAATTGAGGGATTGTGTCGAGACAACAATAGCTATTGTCTGACTGTGAGAGTCATTCCAGTGTTTATTTAACAATAAAACTTACTCAGGTCATTTCAACGCATGTAAAGCGTTTTAAAAAATCTAAAATAAAATGTATGTATCGGATTTAAGACAATTTTGTTGTTTTTACAAAGACACAAGTCAGCGTCCTTAACGTAACTAACGTTACTCATTTCACTATTTTCATTGTTTTTTTAAAATAAAACTTCATTTTTTCTGAATGTCCTTGCATTTCTTGTGAGTTCTTCATATTCACATTCATCAAGTGTCCGCACGAATTAAACACTGTCGTGCGTCCAAACGTCCTATTTTAGTTTTTTCTAAACCGACAAGATTAACAATAAACTATTTTTATACATATAAAGAATATTTTTTCGATACGAATTGAATTTATACGAATATTCATAATACATATTTAAAATACATACTGATTTATACAATATTTGCACTATATGTACCAAAATGGTATATGGGTAAAAAACTATTCTCTTGTAAAAAAAAATCATCAAATTTTCCCTACATAATAAATTACTTATAGAGCAGAGGATAAAAGGCATGAGCATATCCACTAATCCTTTTAACTTCCCGTGATATATTATTTTAAATTGTAATTGTAGTATCTTAAAGAACCTTATATTCTATGTCATATTAATGAATTTATTAGATGAAAACAGTTGTACATGAAGCCAAAACGAATTGCTATGCTATTATCATTTATTATAATTATAATGACCATTCAGTATTCTTCTAAGTGTCAGTGGTATAATTACTATACTACAGTCATTACTCTTTATTTTAGTAGAAATTTAATATATTCACAGTATTATATGCGTTATATGAATAACAAGCGTATTTAAATCACCTAATTACAAATTTCAGAGTCCATAACTTTGCACGTTATTATTATGCAGACACCGAGCTATATTGAAATATTTCCTTAACACGCTATGTCTTAGTTTATAAGAGACAGCGTTTATTAACTTTTAGTATATGTAGTACAAATATTTTCAAATTTCCTTTCTTTAAGATTGCTTGTCTTTGTTTTATACCAACCAGTGTGTCCTACAGAGACATCTTACTTAATTTTGGTATTGTGTTTATGAAACTTATAATGATCACATATTCAGTATGTCTTGAAAGAAATATTCCTACTGCTATTTAATGACAACAACCAGCTTAATGGGGTTGACAAATAAGATTAACCTTCTTTATAACCTTTGTTTGTATATACTCTGATTACTTCCCGTGAAAGCTTTTACGAGAAATTGAGATTTTACAAAGAGATATATGAGATTTTTATTATATTGAGATTTACTAGGTAACGTTAAATTGCTGGTAATAATTTATACTGAAGGTATTACTAATGTTAAGATGTCAGTGACAATTATACTGTCATATAAAAAACAGCTCATACATTTAAAAATATTTTCATTTTAAAAAATTCTAGACGATCTTATTATAAATGAGGTTTCAAATGGTCAGTGCAAATGGACACAAATATAAACGATTCAAAATTAGCTAGCGCCACCCACCTTCCACCAATATAACAGATTTATTTAGGATATTGGATTAAAAATGATGTTATAAATTTAACTATTGATAGTTATGAAGACTGGATTTCAACACAAAATGTCATGTCATTTATTTGAAGATATTAGTTGCATAATTGAGTGGCATGATTATACCAAGTTAAATTACAAATATAAATAAATATTCTTAGAACGTTAAATAAGTGAAATAAGGTTTTTTTTTTGCTTTACTTTTTTTTTACTTTTACTATTTTTGATATCGTTTCAAACATATCTTGAATGTTGGCTACTTTAAAAGTTTTCGTTTGAAACATTTCCTTTATTTTATTCCTCTTCCTTTATAAACCGTTTAAGAAGCTACCTTTATAAGGGCGATAATTTTTAAAAGCTTTATTTTTTTGTCTGTTTGCATGTCGCATCGTCACCGTACTTCGTTATTTCATACAATTAATATTTCATCATGCTTTCTTTTGAGTCACATTTACGATTTTGTTTTCATTATCCGACTACTCAACTTTCTGTCTAATTTGTCTTTTACAAGATGACTCTTATATGTACCTATGTATGTATATACATACCTTTGTTCTTTTCAGCTATCATTCAGCTTATATTTAATCTCAGAATTATTTTGATCTCTTTTGAAATATCATAAGAAGTATCTGGAAAAAGCCGAATTAACTCCATAAATGGCGTATGAATTAAGGAAACAATTTTTTAGTTTGTGTTATAAGATATGTATAAACAAGAACCCATTAGGCAATAGTCCTTTAGTATAGAATAAACTGTAAAAATTCTTTTAGACAAAACGATTTTTAGGTATTTATAACATATAGTAAGTTCCTTCCAAGTCTTGCTTATGAATAGAAATTAATATTTTTGTCTGGAACATAATTGTTTCGCGACAGGACAATTATTCCGTTATTTTTATTGAAGTTTCTGTTTATATTACTTTTTTCATAAATATATGTAATTCTTGTATGTGTCTTAAAATATTGTCACGTTCTAGGGATCGCTAATAATTAATCAGGGCGGAGTTCCTCCCCAATAATTTAATAGCCGTGTTTGTCCCATTTTATAGAAATTGTTTTTAAATAATGTTGATAAGTTAACATGGTTTTGAAGATCACATGCTGAATGAAGCTGAAGCTGAATGTCACATGTTTTATTATTTTGATGTGTTTAGTTGTGTATTTTAAATTAACTCGATCATTAAAAGAAAAATATGCATACCTTAGTTTCAAACAAAGAAAAACGTGTTTTTTTTAATGTTCATTATTGTTACATTCGGTTAAAATGACTGAATAACCATAATTATATATTAATCATAGTTACTTTTTCTAACCAGGTTTATGAAAGCAATAAAAAAGTGTGCAGAATGCAGATCTGTAAATTTATAACTTAAGAAGCTGCCTTTTATCTATTCAGAAGTATTCACTTCTAGAACGATTCGACTCTCATAAAATTCGTAAAGTAATTGTTACACGTAGCTCTAAAATGTCAAAGAACGTATCTGCGTTTACGGCAAAGATTTTTAACCTTTATTTTCTTGGAGGAAAGAGTTTTTAAATGCTATATTTTAACTAACACTAGTAACAAACTTAGTAAATAACAACGGACACTTGTGCTCAGTGTTTTCTCTAAGCAACAATATTACATAGATAACTATTTCTAAAATGTGATGGAATAAGAGATTCGTTGTTTAATATTTTGACAAAATAATTAAAACAAATTATTGAAGATGGAAGTAATATTGCTTAACCTTGCAAACAATATAAAGACTACCATTATGGTTGTGATGTCTTAATACAATATTAACATGTAACATGCCTCCGGGCGTCGGTGGGGAACCGGCGTCCGGGTAACATAGGCCTGAGTAAGAGCGGCGTGTTTGGCGTTCCCGGCACGCTGCTCTTAAGTCGGAGGGGTGGTGTG